GTTTACCAGACCCGTACAACCAAGATAACCTGTTTTCAACTGTTTGTCTGGGGATTTAACTGTTTATTTGAGGAATTCTTAGTGTCTTTTCTTTGATGAGATGATTAACAGCAGCAGCTCAACTCTAAACACATCAGTAATCATTACTAATGAAAATACCCATATCATCAGCTTATTCACCAGGTGAGGCTTTATCTCCAGGTGAGGCTTTAGTTCACATTGCAGAAAACAGATACTAATTTATGTAAAATCTGCAGCTGTAGGCTTGAACAGATGTCTCAATGGCTGTTAGCAATCTCAGATTGGAGACATTTTGATTTAGATCCTGATTCTGGTTTAGACCAGCCTTCAATTGCTGAAAGAGTTTCTACAGAACTGTGTTAGCTTTTGTCTAACCCTGTTAGATGCATTCTGTACCAGCAAGATTTTCAAAAAAGGCTATAGATATTTTGTGTGACCAACATTAGACACCATGAGAGGGGTAGGAACTTACGGACTCCATGTGATTGTAAGGTGTATCCAGCCAGACACCCAGAATTTTTAGTCAATTTTAGAATTTGGCTTGAGTGATTTCATTAAAAGTCAGCAATACGTATCAGAAGACTATCTGACAAAAAGTTGTCTCTGAGCTATGTATCTAATGCATTTTGAAATCTTTTGACTTAATCTATTTTAGTTTGTCTACAGCTACTTGAGTAATGTAAGAGGGAACAGCTTGTTTCCTTTGGAGTGGAGATACTATTTGTGAAATAGCCTTTCCTGGAGTGAGTCACTGATGAAAGGAGGAAGTTCATTTAATATGCTCCCATGAAAACTGCAAAGAGAAAATTGAGTTTTTGGTTTGTCTGAAAGAAAACTGAGTGCTGACAAAGTCTGGCAGCATTAAATATGGGATCTTCAGCTGCCACATGAAATAAACCCTTTCCTTTTGTGCTGATTTTGATGGTACTCAAAGCAAAGGAGGATATCTGGACTGTCAAAGGTTTAGCATCTCAAACCACTGAGCCAACCTCAGCCCTTGCTAGAAAAAAGTACAGTATGAAGTATTTGATCCAGTCACATGTAATTAAGTCTGAAGCAGAGCCATCTCCATGGTAGCAGGGGACCTGGCAGTAGAGAGTGCACAGATTGCAAGTCCAGGGAGCAGGACATCAGATGCCCACCCAGAACAGTTCTTTTCTGAGCATGCCCTGGTCTGACTGTGAGTCTGAGGTGGAGCCAGACACCTCACAGCTTGAAGTGCAGCTTGTGCACATCGAATGTGCCTCTGGACTGCATGCACAGGCACAGAAAGATCTCCTGTGAGGCACCTTTCACCCCAGTGAGCTCGGATGACAAGTCCTGCAAGTCTGTGCTGAAAGCAGTGCTGCTGTGAGAACACGTGAAACCAATGGGCCAAGTTCAGCCTGGAATTAATCTCCACTGAATTAATTTGGTGGTTGTCTGATCAACATTGTTGGGATCAGTCCTGTTGGGATTTGCTGACTTAGCAACTAACAGTTGTCATGATAGGTGTATTTTAATTATAGTCAAGGTCAGAGGCTTCATCTAGGACCTTTCTTATTACACATGAACCCTTATTAGACTCTTCTTATTAGACCCTTTGTCTTATAAACTGTACATCTGAAGTCATGAAACCATTCAGAAAAAATACCATTAGTTCTTAACTGTTGAGTCTTGACTGATGCATGTCAGCTTCCATTCAGCAGTATGTAATTTCTTTATCTTTCCAGTATGATCCTGCTAGATTCAGGCCTGCCCTCCAGTGGATGTATTTTCTGCACTATGATCAGACTTAAATTTTCTATAAGAAAAAAACTTACTGAAAACTACCAACCAAAATCATACAGTACTACTGGAAAAGCTGAAAGGTTTTCAAGGAGATAATTAAGTCTAGTAGGCCTTTGCTCTGCTCCTCTGAACAGAAGATTTTGTGGTAACAAACATATTAGAAACAAATGCAGAAACTGGAAAGAAAATAAGTTTTTCAGCTATACGCTAATTTCCAGGAAGCAAACAGATGAAAAAGAGCTTGGACAAAGAGAAGGAACAGGGCTAATATTGTGTTTCCAGTATGAAATCAGTCGTGACTTTCTTGGCCATGGTGCTTATCAGAGGAACATTTCCTCAGTAAACAGTATCTTTGTCTTTTTCAGACTCACTCAGTTGTGAATGGCATATCCCATCTCACCAGATTTTTCTGGGAGATGAGGTAGGACAGACTTTTGTTACTACTATTACCCTACAGGCTACATCAGGACTCTCTGACCCTGCCATTGTTGAAGAAGCATCCCCAGATGGCACTTTATCTGAAACAAATGGAACATTTTAGCCTTTTGCAAAATAACTCACCTAGAAAAGAATTATACAGGGCTCAGTTTTTATCTATGATTTCTCTTGACAGCACAGTGGATGTCATGAAAAAGACAACGGAGCAGTTCTGCTGGTGGAGATCTACAAGTAGACCTGTTCTGGCATCTGGTGCCCTGGCCACTGTAAATGGGAGTGTGAGGGAGCAGGGTGTACAGCTGGGAGGGCAGCCACTACACTGTGCTGAATGGTTCGGTGGGGTAGACTCAGCCCTCACCTTACTCCCACCTTCCAGTCCCCCAGCAACATGTAATGGAAAGCATCGAGCTGTGATTATACCCTGTAGAAGGATAAGGGGACTTCTCACCCCACTATTGCTTTGCATAATGGGAACACAAGAATGGCCATAAAGGTTCAGGCCAAGAGTTGTCGTGGTATCCATAAGCAACCACTGAGGGACAAGTACGGACAGGTAAGGACAAGCACTTAGAGTACTCCCCCAAAATTCTCCTGGCCTCCAACTGTTCTCATCTCAGGGATTTCCTGAGCCCGGTGTGCTAAACCTCAACAAACCTCTTCCCTCAGTACTTGTCTATTTTCCCCTTGAATCCATGTGATTTTTGGCTATTCCAGCTTCCTTTGGCAAGGGGCTTCAGAGTTCTGTTACCATGGCATAAAGAACCTTCTTCTCTCATGTTTTCCCCAAAGATTCTCAATTTTTCTTTTATGTGGGAGAGAATGATAGGAACATTCCTGCCTTGGAGTTTTTCTGACTCTTCTCTCTTTTTTTTTTTTTTTTTTTTTTAGTCTTTGATTACATTTTCCAGCAGATACAGTTTGACTGCCTATGGGCTGCAAGGTAGCATGTCTCTCAGTTATTTACACACAAATTCAATGGTAATGGCAACATCAAGCTTATGTTCTAATGATTGGTTTGCTTGTAGGGAAACAGAAGTTCTTAATGAACTCAAGAAGGAAAAGGCTAAAAGCAAAATCTCCCTTAAAACTTTTAATTAGAACCATGAAAGAGAAATAATGAGGGGGAAAGGTGGTTTTGTTAAATTTATATTCTATGAAACCCAAATTTTGTAGGAATTTTCCTGAAGTGGAGATACTTTTTTTTTTTTTCAATAAAATAATCAACCTTTCTCTTTTCTGTGTCAACAGGCTTTTCCATAAGCAACTATAGGAATCAGGAGCCCACAAGAGATTGGAAACTGATTGGAAGGTAAGGGAAAGAACATGGAGCTATGATATCTCTTAAAGATAAATCCTTCAGTGGAAGACCACCAAACTCCCATAGAGAAACAAAGAGAAAAATGGCTGTTTATAATGATAGGCTAACTTCATTTTCTTCTAGCAGCAGAGAATTTATACTCCCTAGCATTGTGAAGGTGAGAAGAAAACCAAGATAAACTGGAAAGCTGGGAGAATACCAGGAGAGTAGCCCTATTTTTCTGACAGTCGGGAAATAGCGGCAATCTTTTTGGCAACATCTCTCAGCTGAAGTGCTGAGTAACCAGAATGATATTTTCCATTTCTTTGGGAGCACTTCTGTTCACACCTTTACCATAAAAATGCTGTTCTTGGAAGAGTAGATCGCTCCCAGCCATTCACACTCCCAGTCAGTGTCTCTTTTATGATATTCCTATGGCACCACATAAAGATGAAGGTTTAACAGATGGCTCAGTTTCAAATCCGAAGACAGCAATCACATCCAAAGTTTGACTTCAGTGATTCTGATTTGCACCCATGAAGATTTTTTTGCCATAAATATTTCATGTCCAAAACAAGTAGCTATAGTGGAACAGTGATCTCTAGTGAGAACTTTCTGCTGCCATCAGCAGTGAACTTGTTAGGGATATATGAACTGACGTGAATCTCTCCCTACCAGCTCTCTCTTTTCTGGTCTATTCTATGTCATCTTATGCAAAATGCCAGACCTGCAGACTTAACTTGTCTTTACTAATAATGCCTTTCCTGTTTCAACTTATTGCTAACTTAAACTGCCACCTCGCATGTACTGTCCAGCAGCAGTACAAGCCTCAACTGCTTGTTTGTCCACTTCTCTGAGCGGTGTCATAGCATGAACCTTTGGGTATTGTGACTCCTGTCTCCCACTGAAATTGGTCCTCTTGGATACACAGATGTGAAACAGTCTATGAACTTTGGTAGCTCAGTGTTCAGCCAGAACATGACTGAATACTTGCCCCTGGCCCCTTGCTAGGCCACTGTACACTGATTCTGGCAGCATTTCAGGCTTTATATCTTTCCCAACAGTTGTTTTTTTTTTCTTCCTCTTTTTTCCCCCAAGATGTATTTTGCTGGGGTTACACATGTTTATTGTATATATATCTTTTTAAAGTAAACTAATGAAAAACTCTCACATAGCTGAGGTCACTATTAAACATACCTTAATCCATCTGATTTCTTCATACACTTGTAACACCAGTTGTTGGATCTGCCTTTAAATTAGATCATGTTCTTCAGGGACTGGCCTATATTGTGGGAGAATATAAACAAATTAGTTCAAGAAATTATATGATAGGCAATTCTTTTTTTTTTTTTTTTTTTTTTTAGTCTGTTGCTTGCTGGAATCTGGAAACAAGGTTGCATCACATACATCACAACAGTTGTGAGCCAGACAGGACTAGCAGCAGCAAATGTATTGCACTGGAAACACCCTCTTTTTAAGGTAAAAAATGCTGACCACTTTGCTAATATGAGAAAGTTTACCTCCACTGGGTCTTTCCTCTGTATACAGTGACAGAAGCAGTTTATCAGAAATGACAGCTGCTCTCTGGCCAGGTGAAAAATTGGAATCTTAATTGTTGTGCCAAAAAGAGACTATAGTGAACAAAACTAGCTCCAAGCCACAAAACTGAGGACACCAAGACCAAGGGACATGAAGTCCTTGGCTCCTCTGAATACAGTGTATAATAACACAAAGACAAGTTGTTATTTTCTGGACAGCAGGTAGGTAATTTATTTATTGATTTTTTTTCCCTAATCTCAAGCCCTTTCAGTCTACCAAAACATACAATAGGATAGCACTGTACAAAAAGTAAAGAGTACAAAAATTAGTATAGCCCTTCTGTTAACAGTATTCTCTGTCTGGGTTAAGGAAACTGTCTCGGCCTCTGGCCCTCCTTCCTTCCCTGATTGTGAGGAGCTACAGATACTTGTGCCTTATCTCTGCAGGGGGAGATTTTCATGTTTCACTGACAAATGCTTCCTCAGAAAAAAAGTTCTGTTCCTTAAATTTCCTGTGTGTTAAATTTGACCTAGTAAAGGATGATTATAAAGGAAGGTAGTGAGTCTGAAGTTTTAGAAACTGAGTGGCAGAAGCTAGCTGATTTTCCAGACAAATGTGGGTTTTTTTAGTGCAAGTACACAGTGAAAACAAGAATTTGATGTCCAGAACTCCAAGTGGTCACACTGAAATGCTACTTACTAAACACCTTCCTGTGAGCATTTGATATGCAACAATTGAATTTACCCTGAGAATTAACACTATTTGCCATCTGAAATGAAACCCATAAAAGAGCGAGATTCTATCATTTGCTACCTTTTTCCTAAAGCAAAAAATGGGATTTTCGTTTGGAGATTGTACATTTTGGTCTAATCACAAGAGCAGTAAATAATGACTCCAGTTAGCACAAGCCCAGATGTAGTGCCGGCTTCCCTGATTCAATAACACTATCTCTCCTGCTTTCTGAATAAGATCAGGGCCATAAATACACTGTAAACGTTGGCTGGGAAACCAGAGACCAGCTAGGATCCCTCACTGTATCACTGAGCCAGTTGTTTAACTTCTCGACCCCAGTTTCCGCTGTTGGAAATGGGCTTTAATAGCATTAGTGTTATGTATGTTGAACGGCAGGTCAGACAATCAGCTGCTCTGTATTAATTTGGCTCCGCTAAGTGTAATGGAGCCAAAACAGGCTGCAACAGCCAATTATGTGTTTTTAATCACTTATTCTGATATTCTTCAGTGCTAAGCATTTGCTTACTTTTCTATGCACTTCTCTTTTTACCTATACTGGAGGCCATCTACCCTTGAGCACCCATCTCAATATAACACTTATGCCTTTACGTACCACTTAGGCAGTTTTATCGCTTACCAGAAATTTGGGTGAGAGAAGAAGTCTTTGAGGAGAGTTTTCTGTAGGACATAACTTAGAGAGCCTCCCATACCAACAAGGATACCTGCACCTGCGGCCAAAAGTGAAGTAGGAAAGACTTGGAAAATCTGAACTATTGTGCAAGGCCCTTGCTGTGGTATTGCTGTCAGTGACTGACCTGAGCAACGTGCTCAGCATTAGGTGGGGTGCTCGCAGATTAGTACAGTGCTGTAGATGGTGTCTCTGCTGTTGTGCACCAATAAAATATCCATCCATGTAAATCTTAGCTGGATTCGGGACTGCTAACACTTAACAGATGCCAGGATCTCAGTCCTGACCAGCAGGGGCCACTAAGAGATTATAGAAGAGCTGTTGTACAAGGTCCTGGAGGCCTTGTTCTTCCACATGTTCACTGTCGGAGAGATAGCATCTGGCTGTGGATTAGGACTTGTGCTAAAAAGAAGGAATCTTCTGAGGATTTTCAAACCTTCCAAGATTTAAAAAATAATCTTGGGATGAGTATTGCATTTGCTTCTGGTCTGCACTCTGAGTGGGCTGGCACTTGGCAGCAACGAGCTGGAGCAGGGGCAGAGGGAAAACTCTGTAAAAGAGATCCAGGATACCCTTTTACTTGTGCACAATGCCAGGGAGAACTTTGTAACTACACCGTGCAGTTTGGTACAGTTAGCTGAAGACAGACTGTCAGCATGCTTGCGTCAGGGTTTAATGGTCAAGCTGGGATGGTCAAGTCTCTTTTAGAGGTATAGTAGTAAAAACTCAGGTGTAGTCCATGTGGCCCAGCTGTCTGTGTCACAGGGGATGCGGTGAAATGGCTGAGGTGGGCTTTGAATTTGCTGAGTTTACTGTATTCTCATGTTCCTCTTCTTGGAGATTTTGTGTTTTTTAGCAGCACTGTTCACTTACTCCAAAGCTGTCTTCTTTCCTCAAGTTTTTCTCAGTCCTAATACCATCATGTCTTTTCCCAGTCCAAACAATTCATCGTTCTGTGTCTAACCTCATTCAGTTCTAGAGTAGAATTTGCTGTGAAGGGAGAGCATTGGGTAAAGGAAACCAGCTGTGGCTTAGTAACCTGCTTCCACAGTACTGTGCAATTCCTTTAAGTCTTGAACTTGTTTGTGTGCTGCAGCTGCTCTGGACAAGCTAAGAAAAGTAATCTGAAAATTCACCCGATTCATGTCTTCAGGTGCAAAACTCTGGCACAGAGCAGTTCTGCCTGCTCAAAGTGGTTTCAGGACACTATTGGACTCAGCGCTGATTCTCCTGTGAACAGGCTTTTCACTGACCTTTCTGCAGCTTTGAAGGCAGAACTTCCTCAAATTCAGGTCTTCATTTTAGAGCGCCAGCTCTTTGCTGAAAGCACACACTGAAAACAGGTGGCAGGAAATCTTCAGAGGGAGAACTCTTCAGTCAGGGTGTATATATTTTCCTTTCTCAAAGAGAAGGCTAAGCATGCTAAGCAGAAACTCAGCAGGAGCTGGGAGGTGCAGCCTCGCAGTGAGGCAAGATGCTGTCACTGCTCCTTGGCAATAACTTGGCTCGAGGAAAGTGGCTTCTGACTGACTGAATTCCCAGCCCTGTGCCAGCCTGGCTGTGCCATTGCAAACTGTGCCTGTGCCATCTTTGGCAGCCCACGCTCCAAGTGGGAGCCTACATGCAGGTGTTCCTGTGTCAGGATCCATTATGATGAAGGGATGTCTGAGCAGGCAAAAGCACAAGCAGCATTCCTCACAGTTTCACATCTGTTGCTCCTGTTGTTATTCTGTGGGTCTGAATGGGATCTGTGTTCCACACTGTGTCAAGCACAGACAACATACATGAAGAGTCCTCTGGCAAATCTGCACTTTAAATGAACTTTATTAAACATGTGGTTATGACTGAGCCCTGCAGCAGAAAGAAAAGACCAGAAAGTGTCAATTTTCACCTCCCTCCTTTCCTTCTGGGGAAAGAAAGTGTAGCAGATGATGTGTCCATTACTGCATCAAAGGATGGGTGTAAAGAAACTAGCTTCATATGGATAGTGTTATTAGGTAAAGCATAGAATCATAGAATTGTTTAGATTAGAAAATACCTTTAAGATCATCAAGTTCAACCATTAACCTGCACTGCCAAGTCCACCACTAAACCGCATCCCTAAATACCTCCAGTGCTGGTGACTCAACCTCTTCCCTGGGCAGCCTGTTCCAGTGCTTGACAACACTTTCAGTGAAGAAAAAAAATCTAAAACTCACCTGGCACAACTTGAGGCCATTTTCTTTCGTCCTGTTGCTTGCTACTTGGGAAAAGACCAACACCCACCTTGCTACAACCTCCTTTTGGGTAGTTGTAGAGAGCAATAAGGTTCAGTTTATCAAGAAAAACCTTTGTTTTGTGACACTTCAAATGGAAAGTGGCAGCTAAATAAGGTGTAGCCCTCCAAGAAGTGTAACCAGGGAAGTTTCTCCTTCCTGGTTTCACCATTGGTGGAGAGGTGCCAGCTGGAATAACAGTTCTCTAGTTTATGAATTACCTTCCTCCACTGCTTGACACTTTTAATGAGTTTCAGAAAGGTTGAGCACTTGAATTCCTTAAAGAAGAGGTTTCTGTGAGCTCAGTCAAGTCCTTTAAGCACTTAAAATACAGCAAGATGTGAATTGTACAAATTACAGACTAAGCTATAAATTATTAATAAGCTTGTTCTGGAAATCCATCATGCACTTGAAAGGCAATTTTTACAGCTTAATGTGTGTCAGTAGCTTGTACCAGCACCGTCTTTCACTCAGCAAAGTAGAAAAGGATTTAAAAGGATGCAGAGAGAACTTTTTTTCCTATGGTTTCCTTGCTTGCCTTTTACTAACCAACATAACAAAATCTATAAAATATTTTATCCTCCAAGAAATGTGTTGTGAAGACTGAAGACATTGTATCTTGTGCTCACAGATCCTGTTGCAGATACAATTGTTCAAACAGAAAAATGTAATAAATTCATGTTATAACAATGGCAAAATTTAAAACAAACAGATTTAACAGGCTGTGCTGCTCAGATTAAAATGTATAGTACAATAAATAGAAGTTGTACTCAGCAAAGACTTTTAAAAATAAATTGACATTCCCCTGGTTCATTGCAGTTCTCTGCTGATTCTGATATATGTGAAATCCAGTCTCATTTCAGCTAGATTTGACTTTTCGGGTGAAAAATTATTTTTCCTCCATCCAGACTATAAATTACTTACTAAATCTGGTCTGCATACTACCATCACCGATGGGAAGGAAAGCCACCTTGTGACAGCATCCAGGGATCTGTCCTAGGCGGAGGGGTCACAGCTGCTGTAGCTCTGCTTTCTGTAGCCTGCCTTCCTGAGGTAAAGGCTGTTGTGTTTGTTCAGCAGGTGGCACCAGCTGCTTACAGGTCAGTGCAGACTTCGAGATGACACAAAGGTGTGCTGAAACGACTTGTGTGGAAATACGGCTTGTACCCAGAGCCAGGAACGTGACAGCTCCAACTCGCAGGCATCTCCAGAAGCACTGGAAAACACTGTCCTCACTGTAAGGGAAATTTCTTATTTCTCTCCCT